CCATGTTATATTAGCAATTCTGTCATGGGTATAGGAGGAGGCAGGATTGCTATACATTTATTTATTTGGGGGTTAGACCCTCCTTTAAACCAAAGTGTCTAATAAAGGAGCTCCTGAATTGGGAAGATAATTGGGTTCAATCATTGTTTGCTAAAGTTCAGTTATTTACATTTCACCTTCATGATTTAGACCATATCTGAGTATTAGCTGTACTGTTATTTACTTAGTATGCTTTCTTAAATAAACTGACTTATTTTACTAAAAAATTGCATCGAAAATAACACTACCATAAGTAGAAAGCCAGTCTAACTCCCCATAAATAGAAGGCAACCATTAAAATACATGAATATTATTAGAAAATAGTTAACTCTGTACTGCCTAAGATAATCCTTCATAACACTAGGGGTATGCCTAAGACATGTTGAAAAATGCTGAATGAAATGATCTCTTCAGGCCCTTCCTACAACAACATTCTGTGCTTGGGTGACCAACTTTTGCCTCTAGTGTATGCCTCCAGTGTTTTATTTTCATCATATTTGTGTATATTTTCCCACCTGTTCTTCACATAGTCCTGATCATTTCAGCTATGTGTTTACACCATGTAAACAGGTGTAGTTGCCTATATCCCCATGACATACTATAGATTCACTTCCCAGATCAAACCATTTATCTCACTTTATGAAGTGAATTACCATTGCTAATCTGCCTGCCTTACACTTTTAAATTCACTACTAACCTGACCTGAAAAGGTAATGTCCTGTCATTGTGGCTTAATGGTAGGCTGCTACAACTATATTTGTGATATTGACTTGAGAGGAAAGAGCTACCACAATCCAGGGACATTTGGACAAACAAAGAGCAGAGGAAGGAAAGAATAAAGGTGCAATACCTCAATAGGTATGTTAGTGGAAAGGTTTTAAGAAAGCACTGAATACATACTCCCCATCTTCTTTCTTCTCTCCCTCTTACTTTCTCAGGGAAGTAATAAGACTACAATAGGCTGTAGGGTGAAAGCCATTCTCCCACTGGTTTGGGAGACAGTGGTAGATGGACACAACCCATCTGTTAGGAAAGTGAGAGCTACCTGTGGTAAGGCAAGGATGGTAATCATGAGTCTGCTTTGCAGGGGAGGGCTGCAGGGCCCTGATGCCTCTCTGAATCCAGCTCAATGATAAAGAAGTTCCTGTTCTATTTATACATTTCCTTTGACAATCTTGTATATTTATTTGTTTAATATGAAAGCAAGAATGCAAGTCTTTTTCTTGTATACTCAGTAGAATCCTTCCCTGACTCAGGAATATACATTTTTGGGACCAGGCCAAGGATGTTATTCCTTTCCTGCAGATGAGGCTGAGGATCCCAGTTTTTCTGCTTTGGCTTTGCTGTTAATTATAAAGCCTCTTCCCTCCTCCAATTTATAGGTGTGGTAGCATCTATGGTCTAAATAGTGTGAAAAGTCCACACACACATACACACACACACACACACACACACACACACACACACACACACACACATACAAACCCCTAGTCAAGCTCTGCTCATAAAGTTAGCAGCCTGAGGTACAACTAAACTCGTGGATGGTAGCAGGCCTGCTAGAGCTTGCCCAGGATGGGGCTCTTCCAAGAGAATTTCAAAGCCTGGTCACCTGCTCCTGGCCCATTGGCCATTCCTAAAGTGAATTTAGTCATGCCTCTGAATGTCTCAAGCAAGCAGTTTAGTTATTAATTTTTATAAGTTATTCATATACACAAGTATGGGAGTTATGGGAAACATGGAGGCATGTTCCCAATATCTGTGTCCAGAAAGGGACGCAATCTAAAGCTAGTAGATTTAAGAGCTGCCATTGCTAAGAATAATAGTTATCCTATCTTGAGTGCTTTCTTTGTGTGAGGTACTGTGCTTTGTAGGCTATAATCTCATTGCGGGCAGATCCAGGACTTGTGGGGCCTGAAGTTTATACAACGTTGGGGATCCTCTTTAAGAAAAACACAGTTTGATCACTCTCAGTGTCTTGGAAAGGCCATTCAAATGAGGGGCCTCGAAGCTCAAACTTCATTAATTTCACTGTAAAGCCACCTCTGCATCTTTTTAAATCTTTTGACAATTCTGAGAAGTACTAGCGGTATACTTTTAAAAGAAATAGGTGAGGAAACTGACTTTTAGAGAACTGAGGTCACTTGCCCAAGGTTGTACAGTTTGTAAGCTAAGTCATTGTTTTTCTCCCACAATCTCTTTCCAGGTTTTCTCTTCTCAGCTAACTGAATTTCCTTCTCTAAAATATCCTTATCCTTTGCTGGCAGAACTTAGCACTGTCTTCTGGCATGTGTGAGGAACTTAACACTTGTTCAACATTAGCAGAGGGGCAAAAGGTCTCCTTTTAGCTGAGCTCACAGGGGGAATATTCCCTCTGGGGAACTGCAGAACAAGAAGAAAGCGGGTGAGGAGGACAATATTTTTCCTATTAGATCTGAGCTATGCGCTACTTTCAGCTACACTTTTGTTGTTCCATGAACAACAGTGACTTAAGAATGCAGGCTTTTCTGTTTATATACAACTTGATTTCCCCAGACCAGCTCTACGCTGTTGGGCCCCTATCTCCCCATGCTCTCCCTTCCCTTCCTCACTTCACCCTATTCTACCCCACCTTCCTCTCAGCCCCAGCTCCCCAAGACTTCTCTTTTGTTGTTGTTCTATTGGGAGCAGGGAGGGTGGAGTCCTCTTACTGAGGCTTTTCCTCCCCTCCCTCCAGCCCTCAGACTGGGCTCCACCCTACTAGTTTGTCAGCTGGCTTTCAAGAAAAGGAGGAGGAGAGGCAAGAGGATGAAGAGGAGGAAGAGGGAAAGGGAAAAACAGTGTTTCTTGGGCCCTGACACCTGGGTTATCTGCATATTTCTTAGCTGTTGTTCATTGGGTCCCTGCTTAATTTAACTCTTACATCCCTCATCTGACTCTGGTTATTAAGAGGAAAGCACAGGCTGCTACTTCAAGCAGGCAGTCTCAAGCCTTCGGGTTTGATAGAAGGAGTTGAAGGTATTGCAGGTCACTGTTTGGTTTATTTCTTAAGGAAGCTAATACAAAGGAGAGTCTGTGTTGCTTCCTGGAAGGAGAGGGAAACTGATCTCAATTTCTACTTCTCCATACGTGTTCCCCCATACCCTTTCCTGTGACTTACATGGACACTTGCTGATTATTGATGTGTCAAAAGGCAAAGAATATAAAGGAAAAGTCCTGCCTTTGCAATTAGCTGTGATATATAAAACATATATATATATATATATATATATATATATACTCAATAAGTGTATATATGTATACACATATGGCTTAGAACAGTTTGGCACATAGTTAATGGTCAATAACTATTATTATTGTTAATAATAATTCCTGGCACTCAGGTTACAGAGATGATAACATCTTGTGCCTAACTTCAGGGACTTTATAGTCTAGTGTGGGCAAGCAATTATATCAACAAATATGTGCCCTGAGGTAGAGAAGGGCACAGAGGAAGCGATGGTTAGTTCTGCCTGAAGGAATTAAGTAAGGAGGGGAGATGATCTTGAATTAGTCCTTTCAAGGAGGTAGACAGAGAGCTTAGGCCATTTGAGAAAGAGAAAGAAAAGTGAGCCAAAGCATAGAGAATGGAAATAACCTGGCATTCTCAGGGATATTTAATACAGGTAAGGCCCAGGAAATCAGCAAAAGCTCTGCTGCCTGAGAGGTAGGCAGGGTCCAGATCACAGCAGATTAAAGGATGAGTCCCAGAGTGTTGCCTTGGATGTTGGGGTACATGGTGATGTCATTCAGGTGAACTACAGGAGGAATAACCGAGTTTGGGGTGGAATAAGAAGAGATGAGACAATTAGAGATTCTGCCAGCAATATCAAGTGAGTGGGCACATATGTGTTGGGAAGTACTGGGCTGTGAACCTCAGTTTTCTTATTTTTAAAAGGGGGCTTGGGAATTCCCTGGTGGCCAAAAAAATAAAGGAGGGGCTTGGAGAATATAATAGCACCTATTCTCCAGGGTTGTTATCAGGAATAAATGAGAAATGATGAATGTAAAAACACCTGGCCTAGTAACTTGTCCATATTAGGTGCTGAATACACAGTAGCCATTATTATTTCTCCTGTCTCTCTGCTCCCTCCCTCTCTCTGCTTTGTTTCTTCTCTCTTCTTTCCTCCCCTTTAAAAGAACTGTGGTAGGAAAGAGGCACTGAAAAAGGCCTGTGGTTGCCTGTGACTTCCTGGCCTCCTATTAAATGGTTTAGAGGGACTTTCAAGCAAGGGCAAAGAAATCCTGGAAATGTGGCTGATTTGCTATGGATTCAGCTCCGCAGGGATCTTCCACAATGCCTGGAAGAGAGGCCATCTCAGGGGTTTGAGGACTCTATTCTTAGAGGTCTGGTATTTGGGAGACTAAAAAGAATCTTTCAGTATTCACAGTTCCTTCATCTCCTCCTTCTTCCCCTCCCACCCTTTCACCCTCACCTTCTTCCCTTATATCTTGCTAGAAAATGCCCCCAGTTCCATTCTCCTTTGCTCTTTGTCTCCTCCCTGAGAAGATACTGTGACTTCGTTGTCCTTGCTAGTGTCACAGTGTTACCATGCAGAGCTAGGACTGTAAATATTTTTCAGTTGCCAGCTTTCTTGCTTTTCCCCTTCCCTATTCCTCCCTTCCTATACAGCCCCCACCCCCAATTCCCACATCCCTTTCACCCTCCCTCAGCTTAACACGCAAATGGATAGGTGACCAAACGGTGTGCTTGCAAGCCTCTTTAAGAATAAGGAACTGAATTTGTTTGAGTTGTACCTGCTGCTTCTGGAGACTGCCGCCAGGGAAAAGACCAGAGCTCTCCACACTGGGCCCCGCCCCACCCCCTCCCTTCTCCCTCCTTGGTCTCAGCGCCCCCCTTCTCCACCTCCTTCCACTCTTCACTCTCCTCTAGTGTCCGCCTGTTCCTTTTAAGTAACTCCACCCTCAGGATAGTCACACCACTTCTCTGGTTCTAGCCGGGCAGGAGGCAAGTCACCCCACCCACTCGGGTTGCCTAGCTAGCACTGTCGGTACTGACCCTCATGAACGTGAGGTCCCCAGTGGGGCAGCTAGGTGCACCCAAGAAACCTCACTCTAGAGTACCCGCACAAGTTCTTGACGTTTTTTGCTGAAGCCCCTGTCCTAGACTGGGGTGCCCCTATGTGTTTCCACCAATCGTAGGCATTTGCCCCTCCCTTCTTTCTTTTTAGGAAGGCTTTGGAGTGTGCAGCAGCAACAACGGCAGTAAAGGGATCCTTTTGTGGTATATTCTCCTGGGTTCCTGTCTTGAAGGAGTCCTCCGCCTCAACTTTGTATTCAAGTAGTGCTTTGGGGTTTGGGCTGTTTTTCTTAGCTCTTAGCCCCGGCACTCTCCTCAAGGGTGTGTGGAGTTCAGAGGATGGGTGGAGAGTGGGTTTGGCCGGAACTGAATTGGTAGAGGTGAAAGGGGAACGGAGGATCCTCAACCTTGGCCACTTGGGCCCAGCGAACCCACTTTATTTTTAGCCGAGGAAAAGAGCTAAAAGAGCATTGCAGCAAGGGGAAGATTCTTTTTAGGAAGTCGGTTTTTCTGGCTCCCCAATTTGGGGTTGGATGCTTGAGAGCTTTGTTTCCCTTGTTTCGAGGGTGGTCCAGCTGGGTCTGAATCGACTCTGTCGGCTCTGGCCCTCCTCCTCATTTCCAGCCAGGAGAAAAAGAGGAGGTGGGGGGCCGAGAAAGAGAAGGCAAGAGCGAGCCGCCTGGCGCGCTGTCAGACAGGGGCGGGTGTGAGGGAAACAGCTGTCTTGCGATCAGGAGTATGAGCCTCTCAGAGGACCGCATGAGCTCCGGACACTTCAGGAGTCTCCAGCTAGTGACATGGGCGGTAAGTGACTCCGGAATTAGAACCCACCCAATCCCATCTCCTCCCTCTAGATTCTATCCCTCATCCCACCCCCACTCCTCACTTCTATAGGTTTTAGTAGAGGGAGTGCGGCGGCGGCGGTGGGGAGAGAAGGGTACAAACATTATGTGGAATTAAATGAAACTCAAGGGAAAATGACTTTGCTAAAGGGCTGAGCAAAGGGGGGTTCGGAATGGGAGGAGTACTTTGGGGATCCTCGTAGGAGAAATGAAGAGGGGCACGAATGGATGGATTTGTTTAATTTAATCCGCCCTGGTTTGGTGCTTTCATTTTTCCTTCAGGGGTAAGGTTTGTCTTGACTTAACCCCACACAGCCAAAGTTGCTACCAGAGAGAACGGGATTCGGAAGGCCAACGTTCCAAGGTAACCCCCCTAAATAGTAGCAGGTACCTAGATATGCTTCTAAAAGGAAGAAGAGCAGGGGCTTAATGTTTGAGCCGAGGCTATTGAAAGGCGAGGCCCTGAAGGCAGCCGCCAGGGAGGAGCTGCTTTGGGCGTGCCGGCTCTTTAAGGAGGGGCTGGGCATGGTTGGAGGAGAAAGCATAGGCCCTGCCCTGGCTCTTTAAAACGTGGCTAAGGCGGTTGGTTTGTCTGTGTAGGTGGAAGATTGGGCCGAATTGCTGGGATTGCTGGAGAGTATCGATTTGCAATGGTCACTTAGAAGAGCTGCCTTTTTGTGGGCTTTTTATGTTTAACTCTAAGAATTTGGGGGAAAATAAATCACAAAATAAATAAAACTTATTCTTTGGAAAAATAAATACAAACAGATGGTCAAGGGAACGATCCTTTATTTCCTTTTGTTCTGTCTACATTGTAAAGAAAAGCGTTTATTAAGCAGCAGTCTGATGGCACTCAATGTGATAATAACTAGGCAAAGAGAATAATCTCCAAATTTGAATTTGAAGCTGATGGAGACTATGATGGTTGGGGTAACAGGCAGATCTGCTTTGAAATCCTAATGCCACCACTTACTAGCCGTGTGATCCTAGGCATTGCTTTTCTCTACTAGAGAATGTGGAGTAATAATCTTAAAGATATTTGGGTAGATTAAATACCTTAGTGTATGTGACAGAGGCTGCCACTCCATGTATATCTTAGTTTCACTTCCTTTTCCTGCTCTGTTTGAGACTCTTTCTTTGGAGCACCGCTGATAGAATTAGTGTTTTGCTGTCCTTAAAACACCTTCCAGGGGGTGAAAGGAGACCTTGGAATATTGAATTAGCTTGCCCAAAGTCTGAAGCTAGAACATAGGTTTTGCTTGCTACTGGTTTAACATTGTTCCCACTGGACTTTAGCACCTCTGAGAGAAAGGGACACTAGCCTGCCTTTCCCCTCATTCTTTGGACAACTTAACTAGGATGATATAACCAACAGGACCTTTGGACAACAGAAATCAGTGACTTACAAATGACCTCATCCCATTCTTCAGATTTTTGGGGGGCACCCTTATATATGAAGGTTTTTAATTTTTGGTGACTGTTGGGAACACAGAGAATGGGCTGGGAACAGTGTCTTCAGGTTGGTTCGGGGGGCAGACAGGCAGAAAACATAGGAAGGGAAGAAATATAAACTCAAAAGTAAAAGTGATAGGTGAATCTAGTCCATCCTCAAGACCGGACTAGTTAATGGCTCTATTTTCAGAGCTCTGGGGAGCCATAGGTACCTCTCATTAGGGCTTTCAGGATACATTCGAAAGAAAACTGGGGAAAAAACATGAACTAGATTACCACCACCATTGCTTCAACTCCCCCCAACCCGTATCATCCTAGTATATGCATTTCTGAAATGGGGCCCTTGTTGGTTCAGTTAATTGAATTCCAATAACCAAGTCACCAAGCCTAGTCTAGTCATCTTTCATCTCTCCAGATTGTGTGTATCTGGTGGTGAGGGAGATCAACCTTTTCTCATTCTGGCAGGGGCATTATTATTATGTAACACATTTATATATTCACCCTCGCCTTGAGTCAGTTCTAGTTTATTGTCTCACTTACACTGATGAATAATAAGATTGCCTTTGGATATATAATTCATTTAGCAAATATGTGTTGGCATACTGTGTCAGGCACTGATAAAATTGTTAAAAACTCATTTTCTATTCCTCCATCTTAAATGACTTCTTTTTGCCCACCCTCCCATTTAAACCTCAATCTTCCTTCAAGTCCTATTTTAGTCCTTAGTCCCCACATAAAGCTTTCCTTATCTCCTCAGCTATTCCTTAGAAATTGTACATCACTGTCTGTTCTGCTCAGTGGATACTTATAAGTGAACTGCTTTGTAATGTACTTGTTTTTATGATTTTTTCCTTAAAACAGTATTTATAATATTCCTCTCATTATTAATCCCAAATCAAATGCCATTTGTATGAAAATTTACCTGATCCTTGCATATAGAAATAAACTCTTTTGAGTTTCCGTATCACTTTACCCACATTATCTGGAACCTACACAACTCTCTTCCCTGTATTTTGGTCATTTCTGTACATATCTAAGCCCTTACCCCATTTCTAGACAGAAAGGTGCTTGAGGATATTACTATGATTGTATCTTCAAAGTACTTACCCAATTAACTTTCCCATGTAAACACGGGGTACATATATTATAGATGATCTTCTAAGATTTAGCTCCAAAATGTCATGTTTTTGTCAGTGAAGGAAAACTTGATTGGGATGATTGACCTAGATGATCATCTAGTACAGTTGTCATCTCATTACTAAGTAGAGTGTGAATGAATAACATTGTCATATCAGGTTCATTAGTTTATCCAAAGATGATGTGAACCCTTGTCTGATGCACTTTCTGATTCTCATATAATAATGTGTTCAATTCAGGTTGTATACCTGAAGTTGGGTTTTTGTTGTATTTATTGTCCCCAACTCAGCTTTATCATCTAGCCTCAGTTTTCTCACATCTAAAATAATACAGTATTTGTGATTATAAATAATGTAAGTAAAACATTGGACTCCGTACCTAACTTCTAATACTTATTTCTTAAGTGGAGGGTCTCATCATTTTGTTACTTAGAGTAGTTTATTTTATTTAAACATTGTTTGGTTTTTGGAAAAAAGGAAGGTAATTCAGTGAGACAGCAAGATGGATTTAAAAGTCTGTAACAAGCTTGACGCTTTGTATAAAAAATTAAAAATATCTGTGTACTTAGACAAAATAGATGTAATGTGGGCAAAGCAAACTCTGGAAGTATTAACCACTTTAAATTAAGGAGCTATAACCTAACTCTAGAGCCAAATCCAGGTATTTGATACCAATCCAGGTATCAAATCATTAGCATTTTGATATTTTGTTGTAACCTCAAACTCATCATTTCTAAAAGAGAACCCATCATTACCCCTAGACTATTCCCCTACCTCTCATTCAAGACTTCTCCTTTTCATTTACCTGGTCCCGCAATTTACCATCATCATAATCTTGGTGAAGTCACTTAAACTCTGAACTTGAGTTTTTTCATCTTTGCACTGAGGATAATAATAGAAACTACCTGATAGGGTTGCGGTAAGGAATAAATGTGCTAATTTTGTAAAGCACTTAGAAGAATGCATGATAGTGTAGTAAGAAATGGGGAAACATAGTTGTTGTGGTTCCCATATTCCATGCTCAAAATGCTGGCATCAACCTCTTCCTCAGTTTCCCTGTCTACTTGGTTGCCAAGGGCTATGTTTTTTTTTCCCTTTGTATCTGGCATCAGTTCCTTTCTTTTTATTCTAATTACCACCACTTTAATTTAGTCCAGAGGTATAACCAATTAGCCTACAGACCAAATACAGCCTACGCATGTGTTTTGTTCCCCCTAAATTGATAAAACTTTCATTTAAAAATGAATTTTAAATTAATAATGCATTATACATCCCTCAAAATTTGAAATATACAAAGTGATATACAATGAAGAGTCTCCCTCCTAGTCTTGTCCCCTAGTTGCCTCAGGCAACTAAAGTTATCTGTTTATTGGAAATTCTTCCACAGACTTTTTTTTTTTTTTGCGGTATGTGGGCCTCTCACTGTTGTGGCCTCTCCCGTTGCGGAGCACAGGCTCCGGACGTGCAGGCTCAGTGGCCATGGCCCACGGGCCCAGCCACTCCGTGGCATGTGGGATCTTCCCGGACCGGGGCACGAACCTGTGTCCCCTGCATCAGCAGGTGGACTCTCAACCACTGCGCCACCAGGGAAGCCCCTTCCACAGGCATTTTATGCATATCAAACAAATGACTATTTTTTCTCCCCCTTTCCTTTTATACACGGATAGTAACACTCTCTGCATATTGTTCTACACCTTGCTTTGTCTACTTAAAAATATACTTTGGAGACCTTTCCATATTTGTATGTAAATAAATATCTCATTCTCTTGTGTGACTGCATAGTTTCTCACTACATGGATGAGCCACAATTTATTTAAACAGTTTTCTATTGAATGCCATTTAAGATATTTACAAACTTTTGCAGTGTTGTTTGTAATAACAATAAAAACTTTATAAGTATGTGTATTAGTCTGCTAGGGCTGCCATAACAAAACACTATATAGACTGGGTCGCTTAAACAACAGAAATTTATTTTCTTACAGTTCTGGGGGCTGGAAGTCAAAGATCAGGGTACCAGCATGATCAGGCTCTGGTGAGGGCCCTCTTCCTGGCTTTCAGATGGCTGCCTTCTCCCTGTGTGCTCATATGACCTCTTCTTTGTGCTCCTGGAGAAAGAGAGTGAGCTCCCTGATGTCTCTTCTTATAAGGACACTAATCCCATTGGAGGAAGACCCTACCCTTATGACCTCATTTAACCTTAATTACTTCCATAAAAACCTTATCTCCAAATACAGTCACACTGGGGGTTGGGAGCTCAACATATGAATTTGGGGAGAGACACAATTCAGTCTGTAGCAGTAGGTCAATTTGCCCAGACCCACACTTTTAAAAAATGGTTGATTGCCAACATTTGAAAAATCATACTTTGAAGGGT